AGTCTACTCGAACTAGGGATCTCTTTTTAGGGTCTTGAAAAATGGAGAGTCCCGAACAGCTGATTTCGATAGGAACTTGTCCAAGGCTGCTATCCTACCAGCTAGTCACTGCACTTTTTTTATGTTTCGAGGAGAGTCATATCCATGATGACCTTCATTTTGTCGAGATTAGCTCTTACTCCGTCTTTGGATATCATGCATCTTAGGAATTTGTCCGATTTGACCCCGAATGTGCATTTCTTGGGGTTCAATAGCTTCCGTGAACTCCGAAGGATGTCGAAGATTCTCTCTAAGGTCCACGATGAATTGTTCATGAGTTCAGCTTTTCACCAGCATATCGTCCACGTAGACCTCCATATTTCGGCCTTATGATCTTTGAACAGCTTGTTCACCAGCCTTTGGTATGTCACTCTTGCGTGTTTTAATCCGAACGGCATGGTGACATAGCAATAGGTACCGTACTCAGTGATGAATGAGGTCTTCTCCTGATGTTCATCATCCATGGCTATCTGATGGTATCCTTTGAAGGCATCCAAGAAATAAAAAATCTCATATCCCATTGTTGAATCCACAAGTAGGTTGATTCGGGGAAGAGGGTAGCAATCCTTGGTAAGCTTTGTTCAAATTGGTGAAATCCATGCACATTTTCCAAGCCTTGTCGTCTTTTTTTACCAGCACATGGTTGGCTAGCCAGGTCCAATAGAAGACCTCCTTTACAATCTTAGTCTTCAACAGTTTGCCTACCTCAACATTGACGACCTCATTTCGTTCAGGCGCAAAGTTCCTCTTTTTCTGCTTCACAGGCTGAACGCTGGGGTCCACGTGCAACTTGTGGACGGCCAGTTCAGATGGAATTCCGGGCATGTCTTCCGCACTCCAGGCAAAGATTTTTGCATATTCCGCCATAAGGGATTCTAGCGCCCTCCTGGTCAGTTCGCTTAGGCATGAGTCGGTCTTAACCACGCGATCTGGTCGTTCTTTGCTGATCAGCAGTTCAAGCAGCCTTTCATCTGTCTCCGGTCTCTCCTTCTCTGCTGGCTCCCAAGGTTCCAAGTAGGCTATTTGAGCTACCAATTTTTCCTTACCCTTAAGAGTGGTGATGTAGCAGACTCCAGCCACCTCTGGATCTCCTACCACTTCCATTACTCCCGCAGATGTGGAGAATTTCATGCTGAGGTACAGGGTCGAGCAGACAGCTCGGGGTGCTTTCAGGGTAGGCTGCCCTAAGATCATATTATACGGCGATGGCTCATTCATCACTGCGAAGTTCACCGGGACAGTTCGACATTTTAGCGACACCACCATCGTGACCATGAGAGTTATCATTTCCACAGATCTTACCAGGGGGCCTGTAAAGCCAATCAAGGGAGTTCAAACCGGGATGAGCTGCTTGTCCTCCAATTGCAGTTCTTTAAAGATCTTGTGGTACAGCACATTAATGGCGCTCCCATTGTCTATGTACACATTCTTTACCTTGTAGTTGCACGTTATGACCTCTATCACGATGACCTCATGGTTATTGGAGGCCAAGGGCACTGCTTCCTCAGGTCCGTAAATAATCTCCTCGTACATTTTTAACCGTTTATTTGGATTCTCTTAACTAGGAGGGGGCGGTTGCTCCGCCGTACAGCGTGACTATCTCCTCTAACTGGTTCTCCCGCGATGGTGTTGATCACCCCCGCTAAGTTCTGCATCTCCTGTTCGGGAGTTCGGTCGCGGGGACCCCACGGCCGGTCGCTCGGGTAGTTCGCGCATTCTCGCTTGTACTCCCCTCGGCTCTGGTCAGTTCGTCCGTTCCGGAGGAACTGCCTTAGGTGTGCCCCCACTTGATCAGCTCTTTGATGTTCTTCTTGAGGTGACGACAGTCCTCGGTGTCATGCCCCACGTCGAGATAGTAGGCGCAATACAAAGTCTAATCTCGTCTGCTCTTATCGCCTATCAATTGTCGAGGGGTTCGAGAGAGACCTTCCTGTTTCATTACTCAAAAACCTGTGCCTTGGGCGCGGTAAGGGAAGTCCAGACCCTCTCTCTTTCAAAGGGTTTGCTCCTGGGTAAACGGTCGGAGGTATTCTTTCGGGCCTGCGCAGGTCGCGCATCCCCCTGATCCGTGTTCTTTCTTCGTCTTTCGTCCCTCAGTCTTTCCTGCGCACTCTTCAAGCAATTGGCCTTCTCTGCATTGGCTTTCTCGTGAGCTCGGTTCAGCATCTCCCGAACTGATTTGGGAGGTTTCTCCACAAACTCGGTATATAGTTTCTGCTTGTGCAGTCCATAGATGAAGGCGGCCATCACGACCTTATCGTCCCGATCCCAGACCTGGAGGGATTCGTTGTTGAATCGCACCATATATTCGCGCAGCGACTCCTCAGGGTTTTGATGGATTGTCATCAGGTAAGCTGTGCTTTTGGAGAAAGCTTGCGACGAAAAGAACTGAGCTGTGAACAGGCTCGCGAGCTTATCAAAAGAGCGAATTGACCTGGGAGGTAATCCTTAGAACCACTGACGCGCCCTTCCTTCCAAGAACATCGGGAAGGTCTTGCATCTGATCGCATCGGCAGCTGTTTGTAGGCGATTTGTGTCAAGAATGCGAACAGGTGATCCTCTGGGTCCGTGGTCGCATCGTAGGATTTCATGGTCAATATTTTGAACTTAGCGAGTAGCGGGTAGTCCTCGATATCCGGCACAAAGGGAGAGACAGTATATTTGTCCGCCTCCGGATCTAGCAAAAGATCCAGTTCATCCTGTATCTGGTACTCGTTTCTCTTTCGAGAGGACTCCCTCCGTGGGAACCCCCGGAAGGGCTCAGGGTGTTCTGTTCGGGAGTTCCTGAGAGAGGACTCCAGAATTTCGATCTGTTCACTCATGAATTCCTTCCGTGCCCGCTTCTGCTGGGGGTTGGGACTTCCCGTTCGAGATTCTGATTGTTCAATTCCACTCGTTTTTCGCGCCTTGGGCTTCTGGTCCTGATGGTCTCCTGTCTACCCTTTAAGGTAATTCATGATGGCTTCGAAAGTAGGCATGTTGTCTGCCACAGTTTGCACTAGCTGTTCGAATGGGATACGCGAGAGCTCCGGGCCCTCATCCTTCGAAGTTGGGTCTTGACGGGGATTTTGGGGGTCACTCTGCTTGTTCTCATTGGATCCGTCAGCGTTCCTCTGAGATCTAGTTTTCGGCATGTTTTCGCAAGAGAAGAATTACGGTTCCCACAGACGGCGCCAATTGATGCGACTGCCGAGAACGTGATCTGAACTGAGTTGCGACGAGTTGAGCGAACTGCAGAGGAGCGGACTGGCGCGTAAGCGAGGTGTGCGAACTGCCCTGCAAAGAGAAGTGAACGGCGGGGCTGGTTCTCCGGTGCAACTCCGATGATCAAGTCAGTGAGAGCTTTTTCAGAGTAATAGTATATAGTACTTTTAATAGCGTACCTTGCTTTGCTTTGTGGGGGTATATTTATAGGCTCCGGGGTAGTAGTTTCTTTATAGGATACAGAGTCTTATTAGAGAGGGATTCCTCTTAGGGCTCCATTGGGTGACTCCGAAGAGTTAGAGAAACGCGGCCCATCAGGCCCATCTGGTAGGAGAGGTGGCGGCCCTGCTCGAATTGACTACCACCCTGTCCGAGCTGATCCGACCGAGCTGGTAGGTCAACTTGCCCGAACTGACGCGTGGCCGTGGTGGATTGGCCCCACCACATATTACTATAGTATTGTATATGAAAAATTTGTTGTTCAAAAAATGGGAATCCAAACAGTTTGTCAAATGTTTTGAAATACAAGGGAAAAGTATGCCCTGTTCCTGAGTGGGACTAGATCATGAGTAGCTCGCGTTTTCTTAAAGTGCAAAGTACTCTAATGGAGGACAAAGGAACGTTGATGCCTCTTCATTTCTTTGTATTGCAATCGTTTTTTTCATAAGATTATATGTAATTCATAAGTATGGAATTAATATAACAATTTATCAATTATAAATTACTTACATTTTGTGGGATAATTACTAGCATAAATTACAAATAACCACATTCGGTGGGAAATAACAAACATAAAATTAGACTAAATTCACAACTTTTGGTACTTTAATCCAAAATGTCTGTCTCTTGGGGCTTCAATCTTGTTTCCTAGACAAGGTTTCATCTATTGAAAATTTTGTTAGAATCCGAGTCAATAAGATTAAAGATATCCCAAACTTGGTGGAGCATAATACTAGGTTAGAATTTTTCACCATTATCGATCCAATTAATGTCGAAATCCATATAACTATCCATCCAAGAGTGTAAATGAATTTATCATTTCTTTCTTGCTGTTCGGTACTTAATAGGATTTTGCGTAGGATTGAAACAAAATACTGAAGTATTTACAACGTCAGTCAAATAACAATTTGGCACTAGCTACAACATAGGAAAAGAAATTCTAGCTAATCATTATAGAAAGAGTTATTAAAATTGCCTATACTGCGGTACAAGATTGCAAAATTTGATGCCTTCTATTGTATGGGTTGATTGAATATTCTTGTTTAACAGTTCACAACATTGGTCAGAATTTAAGGAGAAGGGACCTCTTCATCGTTTCGTTTAGTTCTGAATGTATGTTTCATTTCAGGTTGAAAACTCTTCTCATGTTCCGATGCCACGGGCGAGACTTTTAAGCTGCCTGAGCAGTTTTTCTGCAACTTCGACGTAAGGATTCCAATTCCATTTTGTATCTTTGGTTGAAAAGTAACCGAGTCAAATCTTTCTTCTTGTCCATGATGGGTGATGTGCCAGAGAAAGCTACTCTTTCTTCTTCCTGATGCAACTTATACCGAATTTTCGTCTGCTGATGTTTGTGCTCTAGGGAAAGTTATTCCTGCTCTTGAGTCAATTTAGATGCGCCAGACCAACGAAAGCCAACTCTAATTATGTAGAGTGGCAAAATGATGAATGCAGGCTGGCGGGTTTTTGGCTTTATAGTTGTTGGGACAAAACTAGCTGGTATGGAAGGATTGGGAAGGTATTTGCTCTGTCAAGTCTCATGTAAATATGCCGAGTCCATTTCATACACTCTCATAGGCACCTCAACTTCATTGCGAAAACAGGACAAACTTATTCTGATAGCACATAGCACACACTTAAAGTTCAGTAGGATCTAGTTACAGCATTATTTCGAATATGGTAGCTATTACTAGAAAGAGAGTTAAATAGATGTTGAATAATTCAACACCAAATTAGATGCAATCCAGCTATTCTTGAATTACGTCTCCAGGTTCAAGAGGTCACGAAACTTTACTTTCTTAAATCTCATCTTCATTCATGTCAAATGTCAGCCAAATCTCATTTACTCTGTTCTCAAACTCGAAAGGAGAGTTGTATTGTGCGACAATATACAAAGTTGTGTTCTCTCCTGCATGGCTTTTGTCAATGGCATCTGACCAAATGGTTCCAGCAATGCTGTTATACAAGGATGCAGCTTCCTTACCAACATCTTCATCAGCCACAAATCCGCTGAACTGCCTTAGTGCTACATGGGTTTGCCCCCATCTCTGCACATGGAGCCCTTTAGCAGGCGGCGTGTTAGCTTGGTTCTCCTTTGGAACAAAGAAACTCACGACAAAAGATGATGCACAGAATGGTCCATCACTAGGTTTGACTTCTGTAATCACTGGACCTGTCATTTCTATTTGCTGCTGATATTCATTCTTGCCTTGAATGTAGTCAAATAGCCTGCAAGTTTGGAAGGGGAGAAGGTTTACCATGGACCTGTATTTAACAAAATCACCAACTCTAGGTAGGGAATTTCTAGTGATAACATGGGGGAGGATCACAAATATTCAAACACCAATAGATCTGTAACTTTTCAGATTTAGGATGAATCAGCAAACAAAATTAATGTCTCACTGACCACAAAGACTTTCCTACTTAACCTGAATAAGCACTATACCTCCAACAGGTTTGAACAATGCCCAAAAACCAAGGACCACACATGAAGGAACCCCCATCTTTGAAGAGGATTTGTGGTATGTCAAGCCCTCGAAAGGTTCTTCAACATGCCTCGAACTAAACTAGATGTTTAACTACTACATGATCGCAATAAAACTTATGAATCATAATCCCTTGTTTGTTTTGAAATATCATGAATTGGCAGGGGAAGATGGATATGCCCAGTGAATTATGCAGTCTCACCTTATTGTTTACAATTAGAGTAGCAGTTGCAAACTGATAAGCTAATGCTGTCAGTTCTAAGAAGTAACAACCCTGGGTAGCTTTTAGACTGCTTAAATCATTAATTTTATTTCAATCTTTGCTTTACTATGAACTTGTGGCCAAAAATTTCCCTTTGGTTAACTTAAACAGATTATTTTTCCCCCTTTTACATTTAGGTTCTTAAACAGAAAACTCTAAACTGATTTAGTACTCCAAAGGCGAAAAAGAAAACACCAAAGAGAATATGGTTGTTGCAATATATCTCCATTCTTTTGATTCATTGAAGGGCATAGGGAGTACAGACTTGAGGAGACTATTATTTGTCAATAGAGAAGAATTCCCAAATATCTTTTCAATCAAACCGTGTCAACGTTCTTACTTAGGATCATTACAATTTTTTAGGACAAAAGATGGAGAGCTATGAAATGATACTAATCATAATTTGAGCTAGAGAATACTAAATGTGATAGTATCCTGATATAAACTAAACAAATATCAGCCAGACAAAGGCTTAATTTTTATAAGAAGAACAAGAAAGACTCTGTGAAGTTGCGAAATGGTCGTTCTACTTAACCAGAGTGACAAAAATGGGGAACAGACGACGAAATCTAAACTGGACAAGGAAAAAAATTATAGTATTGCTGCCATTAAGGAGACATAAGCAAAATTTCGCAAATAAGTGAGAAACTCTAGCGATTTGATGAAATGGAAATGGAAACATTCAAGATAGGAAAATGATACTAGAATATAGCAAACTTACTGCAAGAAACCAGTTCTAGTCGCACCCACAAACGAAATATCATCAATGGGAGAGGTTGACATCCACACTGGCGAATTGTACTGTCGAATTTCGAACCCATTTCCCGAATGAATCACATCAAAACTCGGACACTCTATCCGATTGCATGTAGGAGGAAATACACCAACATGGCCACTTGAACTTCCTTTCAAGGTGCCCAAATTTGATCCAATTGAGAGCAGACTCCATAGAAATGAGACCTTGAATAGATCAAGAAAACTAGCCATGCCTACTACTCCAGTGTGATAGGTTGTCTTTGTTTAAGCAAATAATGGGGTAGCGAACAAATTAATAATGGTAGTACTAGATTTTCAGTGAGAACAGACGAAGTCGTGTGTTTGATTAAGAGGTGCAAGTGCTGACACGTGGCTGAAGCATTATCAGAATCTGTGAAGAATACAGTATTGTTCTGTATGTGCCAATGGCGAAATAGACAAAAGATTGATAAGGATAAGAAACGTAAGTCATGTTTAAGATTTTAGTTCCTAGTGGAATAATGAGGAAGAAGACGATGAATTGAGAAAGCTGCAGGCTCCGTTCCTGATAGAAACTTAATGGTGCAGAACTGATATTGGCTTGAAACGTGATAGAAAATTAATGGTGCCAAATTGATATTGGCTTGAAACGTGGCTGTAGGGATACATTTGAGTCAAGTGGACTACTCCAGCTCCATTCAAGGTAAAATAACTGAGCTCCAGATTTTAGAAAGTCGAGTATAAGTTTAATTAGGCCTAATGAAATCTAATCAAGTTCAATTCAATCTATTCGAATCTAATTGAACTCATTTAATAAAAATTAATATTTTAGATATAATTTTAAAAAAAGTATATAATTGATATTTCACAATAATATATATATATGTGTGTGTGTATATCAACTCAATTAATCCCGTCAAGTTTTTGAGTACAAGAATTTGGAGTTCAAACTCGACATATGAGCTCGTGTAGCTTGGATTTCTGCACCCCCCAAGCGCGAGAGGGGATAATAAGAAGAAGTTCCACCATAATTCATCGTAGTGATTTGGGATTGGGCCAAATGAGATCCATTGATGTGGACTTCCAGCAAGACTCCTGCCAACTTCAGCTCAATTGATGAATACAGACTATGATTCAATTGGGTAACTGATTGGGCATAGACCAAACAAGAATACTCTTGCATATTTGCTGCATAAAGGAATTGAAGTTACTGATTCATGAGTTGGAATATGGGCTTCAGGCCTAGTTTCCAAGCCGGGGTAAGATAAAGTTGACAGATGGAAGAAACTTTCTTGATTGGTTTATTCACTAAGTACCGTTCACTGGAGAGCAGCATGGCAGTAATTGGATGGCTGAATTAATTAATATTTGTGTTTACGTGTTTCTTATATTTCTTCTTGGATTTTGAGTAACTGTTTAAGTATTTGACTGTCCTTTAGCTCTAGCCGCTGCAGAACTGTGCTTTCATTTACCATCAAAAGCCAATAATCCAACTTGTGTATAGTTCCATGTTGAAGATGTATTCGAGACCGCTAGAATATCATGCTATTGCCTAATACAGGACGTGAATAAGATTAAGGTGCTAAATATTCCAAGTCTTCCGCTAAGGACTCACCTAGTGATAGCCTCCCATCTAAAGTGGTCGAATCATGACATTCCACACTAGCAACTGAAAATGAACCTCCGGCCTAGTGGATTGATTGGGAGGATCAGTAAAATCTTGCTGGCTGGTGACTCTTCAGTCTTCACCCCCAGCATTGTGTTTGTTGCTGTGCTGTTGGGTATGCCTAAAGCTTTCCAAATCCAAAAGAATACAGGGGAAAAAAAAACAGAAATAAGAAAAAGGAAGGAAAACAAACGAAAATGCTAAGATAAACAGGATATCAATGTCCCAGAATTTCTATTGGCAACTTTATATTAGTCCTTTTTTTTATCCACAGTTACGTTGTCTAACTTTGCTATCTGCTTCTTGTCCTTAAAAAGTAAAAATGGGGAGCTATAGGACTATTCTTGCAACTATTGTTGCTCTATTGCTGCATGGTCATCTCTGTTCATTTACTGAATGAAGAGGGTCTAATTCTCATGGAGTTCAAAAGTTCCCTCCGAGACTCCAATCTGCAAAGCTGGAATTATTTGGATTTTGATCCTTGCAACTGGGCTGTAATAATGAATATAAGGTGACTTCGATAAATCTCAGTAGCTTAAACTTGTCCGGCACTTTGTCTTCAAGCATTTCTAAGCTCCCTTAACTGAGTTCAATGTGCAGACAAACTTCATGTCTGGTCTCATTCCTTCTGATTCTGCATTCTGAGATTTTAGATCTTTCGTTCTGGAGTAAAATCCCAGCCCAACTTTACAAAATAACCCTCTTCAGTAAGCTTAATTTATCCATTTCAGAATTATAATTTTGGAGAAGTCCAAGAGGAAATTGGAAATATTACTTCAATTGAGGGGCTTGTGGTTTACAGTAACAATCTTACTGGAATAATTCCATCATCCATTGGCAGATTGAGAAGGGTTAAGATCTTAAGGGCAGGTAACAACAATTTTTCAGGTCAAATTCCTGCAGAAATCAGTATGAATGAGAGTTTGGAATTCCTTGGACCAGCTTGAATTTCTTTAGTAAAGCTCTCACTCACGCTCGCTTATTGGACACTCATTACAAAAATTTTTATTTTTTAATTATTTTCCTTTCTTATTTAGATTTTTTTTAACGTGTACCTAATGGGCATTCATTAGTACACTTAAATCACACATAACTTCACACATTAACCATTATTAGCACATTTTGCATGTACATACTTTTCTTAATTAATATTACTTTTTTCAAAATATGAACACCTGAAATCCATTTTGGACACTCGTTAAACCGTGCTTCTTATTTCGAGAACGTCTTTGCAATTTCTTCACAGGGAATATTCTGTCTCGGATTACATTAATATATCTAAACGCCGACTTGCGCATTTCAGAGGATTTGTATTCCATAATCAAATCCTCCTGATTAACAAATACAATATCGTATTAAATGTTACACTGCCACGACCCCTTTTGGTTGGAATAACTAAAGTGGCACATGGCCATTATTAATCAATCATCAGATACTTGTTACGTACCACTACTTTTTGCCAAGTTGCTTTGATATTTTAAGAAAAATATTAAAAATGCACCTTCTAAACCACAAAAAAAGTCAATGATCTCAAGTCTAATGGCCATGGAAAACTTTATCCATGTACCTAAATTAATTATATAAATTCAGTGGCTTGTCGATATATTGAGGAAATGCTGCAATTTTTACTTCATAAACTTTAGTGGCTAGCTCTCAAAAAATGCCAGCATATGTTACTGTAATACCAATTTGCATTATTTTCATCGGTTTGGTGATACTTGTCAACCGGTATTGCAAAGAGAGCAATAATAAGAAGAGAGGAAACATGATTCCCACCATTGATCCCAGAAAAAGAGCTTCCAATTCCTCTTTTCAAACTTATCAAGATGGCGGAAATGGTGCAACTGCGACCACTGGTGGTGGTGGTAATGGCGCGGGAGATGGTGGAACCGTCATTATGGCTGGTGCTGCTGCGCTTGCCGCGGTGGCTGCTTTGGATGGCATAAGTGCAGATGGCGGCGGCGGCGGCGGAGGAGGAAATGATGGTGGTGGAGGTTGAGTTTAGAGTTTGGACTCTGGAATTTGTCTTATCCTCGGGTCTTTTTTCTTCCCTTTTCTTTTCCCCTTTCTGGATCCAGTTTATGATACGTAATGTATTTGTTAACTACTGATTGAATTAATTTGTCGATGATTAATTATTTGTTAGCAGAAAAACTTCACATTCGTATTGTATCGAATTATTTGTTCTTATGAATTCTGATTTCTGAGATTTAATTATGGTGTAGCTTTTCTTTTTAGTTTCATAACCTTTCTAGATCTGTGACATTTTCCTTTAAAACTACTGGGGATGGACAGCTTTTCTCTTTAGAAAGAAAAGGATACAAATTGAAGTGAAGTAAATTAATTTCCATTACCTCCAGCTTGGTGTTGCATGCATCCTGTTCTTTTCTTCTTCTTTTTTTTTTTAATTTTTTCTTTCCAACAAAAGTTAATGTATTGCCTTTTATAAGGAGACAGGAGGAAAAAAAGAAAAAAAAAACTACTTATTCAGCCTTGATGTAAAAATCTTATTTATATATATATATATACTTAGGTTGTGTTTGGATTGCATTTTTCATGATTTTTCATGGGAAAATTACTGTAGCGATTTGATGTATGTGAGGGAAAAAGGTAATAGGGAAATGTAATCACGAAACGACGTAATTTTCCGACGAAAAATCGCAATCCAAACAAGGCCTTAGAATTGCACCCCAAATACGATTGAATTGACGTCAATGCGAAGCAATCTGATGCCCCGCCGCAGGCTAGGGGATCGACGCCGAGTCTTTGACCCGCGGACCGTGTTAAAGCTCAACTGGATCATAGGTTCAAAAGAAAAAAAGAATAGGATGGATTTTCGTAAGCAGAAAGGATGATAGCTCAACTTTGCTAAAATATAATTGTTATACTTAGTAATATATGTATTGCATCAGAAACCCTTTTAATGTTCTTTGGTACTATCTAGAAAAAGAAAAAAAAAAAAAAAGGTCAAAAATCGCCTGTTTGAATTAGCTATTTTTTGAGATATTTTTGAAATATTTTACTGTAATAATATATATATAAATTTTACTATACATTTTTTTTTAAATATTTGATATATTGTATGGATGAAATATTTTTTAAATTATTTTTTATTTATGTATTATTATAATATTATATTTAAAAAATTTATTTTTGAAAATTAGGCCAATCCAAACGAAAACGAATGTTATAAGATTATGGACTTTCTTTCGTTCCTTTGGGACTAAGAAGTTTGAAGTGCTCCAAGCAAAAAATAACTCTGGATGCTTGATTATCTGTAATTGACAATTGTTACACGGTTTGTACCAACAATGAGTTGTGAAATAGTTTGTTAGTGTGTTTTTCAAAATCGTGAATTTTATTTTTGATTTTCAACCATAAATTTTCAACCAAGAAGAAGACGATGAATAGGATAGGATAGCAATGAGCAATTATTGCTGAATGGAAAATTGGAAATATCCCAAGTGGTGGCCCCTTCATTGCCTTCAATTCATAGGAAACTAAAATTGGTTGACCTTTGACGAAGGCGTCTTATTAAAATAAAATAAAATTAAGCTACTTGCACCAATCCTATGTGCGAAATTGGTAGGTATTAGTTGCTGAATTTAGACAATATACAAATATCTCTTGAAGTCTTGGAGAGTAGAGCTTTGCTTCGGGAATTCTTCATCGTCTTCATTTTTTTTTTGGGACCATTTAACCCCTAGAAAATGTCCGAAGCCATCATGTACTAGTATTAAGGATTCCTCTGCAATATGATCTATCAACATGCTAATGTTAGCCATTATTATATAGTTAGCTGAGGTCGAGAAAATTAAGAACATGACGGGCTGCTGTCTGTGTCCGTTTATAGGAAGCCGGCGAAGAAGTAAGCCAACTGAAAAACCAACCAAACCTGATATTTCCCTTCCACGGCCGGCCTATGCTGTTGATCAAAGGGCTGCTCGCAGCGGCAAGAGGGATGGAAATATGGCCATCTTGGCCGGTGCCGGTGCTGGTGCTGCCGTAGCTGCTGCTACGATTGCTACAGCTGCCGCAGTAAGCAACGTTGAAGAAGAACAACGTGCCCGTGATAATAAAACGAGTGGCGGTGGCGCCTGTGGCGGTGTAGCAACTGATGGTGGTGGTGCTAGCCAAGGTTGCTGCTGTGGTGCTGGCGGCGGCAGTGGCTGTGGTGGTGGAGGCGGCTGTGGCGGTGGCGGCGGCGGATGCGGCGGCGGAGGATGTGGCGGGGGCGGATGTGGCTAAGGTCCAAATAATTATTATCCTCATTGTAGAAATGTTTTGCTTTAGCTTTTCCGTTTTCGTCATAGTGTTAATTATTTATACGGATATATTTCTTTCTTCGTGTTTCTTTTTTTTTCCAAAAAGTATTTTGGATATGTTTTCTTCCGTAGTGAAGGGTTTTGGATAGGATTTGTACATATGCTTCTAATGAGAAATTAAGACTTAATATTAAAGCACATAATTAAATCGATCAATTACATTCTCCTGTGTAACATTTGGAGGCTTGTCAATAATTTGTTTCACATTTTAATTAGTACCTCGGTTGAATTTGAAATGTATACTCTGACAAGAGCAAATTGCACATTCCCAAATCTTTAATGGGTAATGCATATGAAGTTTTCCCAATTCCTGTGGTGAGGAGAAGTACCTGTCATCGTGATGGAAATAACTACTGCACAGAAGGTCGATTTCAAAGAATGATGGTGGTTAAAAAGGACCCTCAAGCTTGCAAATTCTTTTTAAAGCATCCCGAAAGAAATGAATTTAAAGAAATATTACCAAACCAAAAAAACACTGTCAGTATACAAAGATGACAATCAACTAATTTACTTGTGTCGGGCAGATTACATATTTTTGGATGATCTGAGGACTCGATATCTGTATGTATCAAGATTCATGAACAGTCTCTAGCTCTATGTAGTGCCATGTTATACTTTAATTTCCAATAATTTTTCCCTGAAATAGTACACTACACGATTGTGTTTGGATTGCATTTTTTTGGACTTTTTGTAGAAAAATTACACTGTAACGATTTGATACATGTGAGTTAAAAAAGTGATTGAAAAATGTGTTCACGAAAAAGTAGCAATTTTTCTTTAGAAATTTGCAATTTCGTGATGTGTCAGATTAATGCAAGTCACGAAAACCTTACTCTTTATGACATGAAATTGGTGGATGTAGCAATAAGTCGGTTTTAAATCACAAAATTGATAAACATGATTTAGCCATTTAAGTTGTTAGAAAAAACATGTTACATTGCCAGACGATATCTTCTAAATGGTAATTATTTAACCCAACAAGCAAGGTATCCTGGCTACATATATCTTGAATCATAATTCCCATTTGGACTTAATATGAAAACTTCCCAATCTTTTCTACTTTAATGCTAGCTTTTGAAGAAGTCCTCAACTGATTCCCTTTTATTTATTTATTGCATACATAATTGTCAAATTTCAACCACTTAGCCTACCTTTTGATTGGGGCTTTGTAGAATTCATTATTGCTTCTGGAAATTTTCTTACTTTATTGGCGAGTTGATGATCAGAGGGTGACCACGTGGGGATGTGCCACACGACCTGCCTCCCATGTTCTTAATCTAATTTTTCTGGGCTGTGGAATATGACACTAGTTTTCTGTGATGAGCTTCTCTAAGATCTCTACGATTCAATTTTGTGCAATTTTGATTCTTCCAAGGACAAGATACAGGAGTTGCATGTCTCCTGCAAGTTTCTTGGTTTTATTTATTTATTGTTTTGGTGGTGCGGTAGCGTAAATTTTTAATAGAATCTCAAGGTCAATCTTATCAAGTAATTCCATCGTAGGGGAGATTTAGTGCTTCCCACTTCCCAGTTCCCACGGAATAATTGTAGAAGCTTTGCCTGCCTCTTTAACACTTTCAATTCCCTTCTTCGTTGAAATACAAGAGGCCTGCCGTTCCTTTTCTCCCTAATACGATAATCCCTTTTCCACCTTTCTGTACATTTGCAACACAATCCTGCTTCTTTTTTTTTTTTTGGTTTTGTTTCTTACTTTTTCTCACACAATTATTCATTTCCTTTTTTCCCTCTTAATTGAAGTAGACGTACTTCTCTTGCTTTCTCAACCATCATGACTGTAGAATTTGAAGTCCAAGGACCAGCATTGTTGTTCGAATGAAGCTCAAAAACTGGATGTCAAATATTTCATCCAAGGAAAAACCACCCAAAGGACTTCCATCTAATGGCGGAGCTAGGACCTATATATAGCTAGTGGAAGCAGTATTATACATCTAAAATGATGTTGTTATTGTGCCAAGAAAATTTTGATTTAAAATTATGTTTTATTATGAGTTTTTTTTTTTTTTTTTGTGTTTTGAAAGTATTGAAATTATTTCTTATTCAAATAGTATCATGTTGTGTTTTAATAGTTTTTAATTTGTACTGTAAAAGAGACTGCCGTCTAGAAGAAATTGATTGATTAGGGAAATCATGTGAGGGGAATGAGGTTTCCTTTTAATATAAGGAGGCAATATAAAGAGAAAAAGGTTATTTTTCAAATTTTTTTCCACCCTTTTCTTTGCTGAAGAAAAGAGAATGTATTGCAATGGCCTTCTGCGTTGGGTAAACGAAAATCTACTGCTTCGTCCTTTTCCTGAATGTGAGAATTGCTTGTCCTTTTTTGCCTTGCGCTTCGAAGAAGTTCTTATCGACAAACAATATAGACTTAGCGACTCTTGACTTTGACCCCAAGTCATATAAAGGGAAAGAAAAAATGAAATTGACAGACACTTCTACCAATAAATTGCCAGCATATTTTCGGTAAGTTACTTAATACAGAATCTATTCATAACTATTTCGCTTGTATAAAACCATCCACAAAATACTGACTTCTCAAGCACAGTTCATAACATCACAAAAGTCCGAATTTCAATTTGGTAATTCTGATCGAATTTATGATAATTGCATATACAAGACTTCTAATTTCTGAACTGAAGATATAATTTTTTTTTTTTTTTTATAAAATGAGGACTTAATGACGTGCAATAAACATGATTTAGGAAATTTAAGTTGACGGAAAATATATTACGTTGCCAAATGATATCTTCTAAATGGTAATTATTTAACCCAATTAACGAGCAAGGTATCCTAGCCAAGTACATGTTAAATCATTAATGAAGTCCACGGCGCGTGACAAAAGTCCGATACTGACAGAACTTCCAGCAAATTTCACGGCCATTTCCTAAACAAAAATTGTAAACTTTCTTGCATTATACATGATGTGTTATATTGAAAAATCAACTGTTAGTTCACCTCACCAAATTGCTATAAAAAGTGGATCAAAAGATTTCAGGACTCGTAACTGAATTCATATTTTGAAGCAAGATGAATACTAATGCCACAGCTCTTATTGTTGCGGTCTCTGTAGCTGCTGGAATTCTAATCTTGTGTTGCTTATGCAATGTTGGACGCAAAAAGAAGCAGCTGCCTGGAGCATCACAGGCTAGGCAGAGTGCTCCACGGCCACCATCGTATTATGATGTTGAGAAGGGTCAAACTGCTAAAACTAGTGCCATTAGAGATGGGGGAATGGCTATTTTGGGAGCAACAGCAGCAGTTGCAGCTGCCACTATTGCAGCAGAAGCAGTGTTCGGAGGTGGTGGCGGAGGTTGCGATGATAGTGGTACAGGAGGCGGACATGGCAGTGGGGGTGGTTGTGGTGGTGGTGGTGGTTGTGGGGGTGGTTGTGGAGGAGGAGGAGGCTGCGGAGGAGGGGGCTGTGGGGGTTGCTGAGGTTGAATTGTACACAACGCACGCATCAAAGTCTATCTCTAGCTTTACTTGTCAGAGACCCTTGTCTTAAACTGTACTCGTCTTTGTAGGATTTTTAAACCAAGTTTTTTTAGGATTTAGTTTGTTGTTTAGTTGTAATCTTCTATTACTAGTATGATTTGGTAGTTTAAATCCCAATAAAATTTTGGTAGTTGGTAGTCTATATAAAGACCATAGTTCTTGGTCTATCGGTGTAGGAAAGAAAAGAGAGAGAGAAAATATTCAAAAAGATAATAAAAGTCTCAAGTTCTCTTTCTTCTATTTGGTTTTCTGGCTTCAAGATTTATTTTGTCTTCTTGTGGTTTTATTCAATCATGAAAATCGTGTGGCTTATATTAATTATTTTTGTGGGTCTACTGGAGTTAGGTTTAGTGTAAGACATGTTTGCATCAACTACATCAACTGTGCCAAGTAATATCACCTGTGCAGTACCAAAATTTATAGGGAGAAAAGATTACAGTTCTTGGAGAACATAGATGAAAACTCATCTTGATGCATATAATTTGCTTCGATTTGTTCGGCAAAAATTTGCTGTAGATGAAAAAGCAAGTGTCAAGAGGCAAGTATCTTAAATTCGCCAGGCAATTGATGCTTTGATTTTTGAAAAAATTGCTAATGCCAAGACTGCAAAACAGGCATAGAACATTTTGGCGAAAACATACAAAGGAGTTGATAGAGTTCAGAAAAATAATCTGCTGATGTTAAAAAGGAAATTTGAGTTGATCACCATGAAAAAATCAGAGACCATAGAATCATATTTTTTCAAACTGATTGACATAAAAAATGAGATGGAGCATAATGGTCATGATCTCATAGATGAGGTACTAGTAGAAAAAGCTCTCAATACTTTACCTATGAAATTTGATCATGCAGTTGCTGTGATTCAAGAGGCAAAAGATCTCTCAACTATGATCATTGAAGAATTGTAGAGTTCGTTAACTTTTTATGAACAGAGAATTAACGGAAAATAGGAAAATGGTGTAGAAAAAGAAACGATGGAGAAGACATTGCAGGTGCAGACAAATAGACCCAAGAAGAAGGGTGATGGCTCCAGTCAAAGAAACCAAAATTTCAGAGAAAGATGACGAGGCCGCAATAGAAACAATTTTAGAAGTCGTGGCAGAGGTAATTTTTATCAACAGAGAGGTAACAATAATTATCCCAATGATGAGTTAGAAAATAATAATTCTTGCAAATGTAATATTCAGTGCTATAATTGTAAAAAAATTGGTCATTATAAAAGTGAGTATTGATAAAATTTTGACAAGGGAAAATTGTTCAAAACGTCCCTCATATTTTGCAAAATAACTTTTTTCGTCCCTCACTTTTAAAAATGTAATTTTACGTCCCTTACAAATTCACATTAGTCAAATTTAGTCCCTACTTAGGTTTTCGACTAGTTTTTTATCGGAATTCACCACGTGCCTTGCACGTGATCATATTTTAAGGGCAAATTTGTCAAATCAAATTTTATATAATTCGATTCATAATCTCTCACATTTCATAAAATAAATTTTTTAGTCCCTTACATTTTACAAAATGAATTTTTTCATCCTTCACATTTTTCAAAATGAATTTTTTCATCTTTTATTGATCATGTGTGTGAATAATTTTTTTTAAATCCATGTATATATTTATTTGATTTCACCTGAACAGTACGAATAGCATGTGAAATCAAATAGAGATATATTACACACTATTCGTATTGCTCAAGTGAAATCAAATAGATATATACATGGGTTTAAAAAAATTGTTAATTTTTCACTTATATTCATTTTCTTTTACTCAAAATTTGAAAACAAACAAGACATTTAATCCTAAATATTATCGAGTGTTTATATCGAATTAAATTTGGATAGAAAAAGTAAACAAAAGAAAAGTATGACAAAAAGAAATAAGTGATTGGCACTTTCAAATTTTAACAAAATCACAAGGCAAGTAATTCAACTGTTGGTCTTAAAAGTGTCGAGTAGAAATTTCAGATTTAAACTGAAATTTGTTAGCACAATTATAGAATTCGAGTTAGGACCCATTAATTAGATGACCTTATTATACAACTTAATAAATAAATTATTATCAAAAGAGAAATGTCACAAATATTGAATAGGTTCAAATGGTGAATCATATAAATATATACATGGGTTTCAAACAAAATTATTAGTTTTAAACCCCTATATATATCTATTGAATAGCATGTGTATAACTATGATTAGCATGTCTAGATGAAATCCAATAGAGATAAATTACATGCTATTCATACTGTTCAGGTAAAATCAAATAGATATATACGTGAGTTTATAGAAAAAATGCTATTCGTATACATGATCAATGAGGGATGAAAAAATTCATTTTGAAAAATATGAGAGATGGAAAAATTCATTTTTTCAAATGTGAGGAACGAAACAACTCATTTTATAAAATGTTAGGGACGAAAAAATTCATTTTGTGAAATGTAAGGGACTATGAATCAGATTATGTAAAAATTTGATTTGACAATTTTACCCTTAAAAAATGATCACATGCAAGTCACGTGGTGGATTCAGGCCAAAAACTAGTCGGAAACCTAGGTAGGGACCAAATTTGGTCAATGTGAATTTGTAAGGGACATAAAATTACACTTTTAAAAATGAGGGACAAAAAAAGTCATATTGTAAAATGTGAGGGACGTTTTGAACGATTTTCCCTTCTGATAATAAAGACAGGCATGCTAATATGGCAGAGAATAATGATGAAAAGAATGAAACTATTTTATTCGCTAACTCAAGAGTGGAAGAAAATAAAAAAAAATTTGATTTTGACTGCGGTAACCATATGTGTGGTAACAAAAATATGTTTGTTGATTTGAATGAGTCTTTTAGATCTTTTGTTAATGATAATGAATTATCTGATGAAAATATTGTAAACTTTATTTTATTTGTAAATTGTGATCCTATTACCTTTGAGGAGGTCATAAAAAATGATCATTAGAATCAAACAATGGATGAGGAAATGCATACAATTGAAAAAAAAAATAAGGCACGGGAGCTGACTACACTTCCATATGGAAAGAAATTAATTGGTGTCAAGTGGGTCTACAAGATCAAGTACAAGCAAACTAGAGAGGTACATCGTTACAAAGTAAGATCGGTGGTTAAAGGATACAAGCAAAAGACAGGTATTGATTATTTTGAAATTTTTGCTTCAATTGTCAGACTTGATGCTGTTCATATGATTATATCTATTGCTGCCAATAATTCTTGAAAGATTTATCAAATGGATGTGAAATCTATTTTCTTGAATGAAATTCTTGAAGAGAAAGTATATGTTGAGCAACCTACAGGTTATATGAAGAAAGGTCAAGAAAATAAAGTCTACAGGTTAAAGAAGGTTTTATATGATTTGAAGCCAACTTCTCGAACTTGATATACTCGTATCGACTCTTACTTTATTGGAAACAGTTTTGATAGATGTCCATATGAGCATACTTTGTATATCAAATTCGATCCTAGTGGTGATATTCTTATTGTATGCTCATATGTGGATGATCTGATTTTTACCGCCAATAATTCTAGAGTGATTTCTGAATTCAGGGAGATTTCATGATTAGTCATTTTAAAATGATGACTTGGGATTAATGTCATAATTTCTTGGCATTGAGGTTTCTCAAACAAATGACGGCATATTTATTACACAGAAGAAATATGCCAAACCCATGTTGACCCCAATTGAAGAGAAGTTGAAGTTAGTTAAAGATGGTGGTGGTAAATTTGTTAATGCCACTAATTTTAACAAATTGGTTGGAAGCCTAAAAGATACTCAACGTTGACAAGGCCTGACATTAATTTTAGTGTTGGATTAATTAGCAGGTTTGACGCCGAATAAACATGATTTAGGAATTTAAGTTGGCGGAAAAATATATTACATTGGCAAATGATATCTTCTAAATGGTAATTAATTGTTTAACCCGACAAGCAAGGTATCCTAGCCACATACATTTTAAATCGTTATTAATTTCCATTCGGACTCAATATGAAAATCGCCCAATATTTTCTTCTTCTACGCTAGCTTTTCAAAAAGTCCTCAACCAACAAAAATATTGTCTAGTGTTTTAATAGCTCAAGAATGAAGGAGAAATTAATGAAGTCCACGACGTATAACAAAAGTCTGATACTAACAGAACTTCCAGCATATTTCAAGGTCATTCCTAAACAAAAATTGTAAACTTCCTTGCATTATACATTATGAGTATTATATTGAAAATTCAACCATTAGTTCACCTCACCAAATTGCTATAAAAAGTGGATCAAAAGATTGCAAGGCTCGTGCCTGAAGTCATATTTTGAAGCAAGATGAAAACTTATGCCATAGTTCTTATTGTTTTGGGCTCTGTAGCTGCTGGAATTCTAACCTTATGTTGTTTATGCAGTATTGGACGTAAAAAGAAGCAGCTGCCTGCGACATCACAGGCTAGGCCGAGTGCTCCACGGCCACCTTCGGATTATGATGTTGAGAAGGGTCAAACTGCTAAAACTGGTGCCATGAGAGATGGGGGAATGGCTATTTTGGGAGCAACAGCAGCAGTTGCAGCTGCCACTATTGCAGCAGAAGCCACGGACGGAGGTGGTTGCGGAGGTGGAGGTGATAGTGGCACAGGAGGCGGAGATGGCGGTGGGGGTGGTTGTGGTGGTGGTGGTGGTTGTGGGGGAGGCTGCGGAGGAGGGGGCTGTGGTGGCTGAGGTTGAAATGTACACAACCCACGCATGCAAATTGCAAAGTCTATCTGTAGCTTCACTTGTAAAAGACCCTTGTCTTGAACCGTACGTACTCTTCTATGAATTGTGTTCATCATCTTTGTGAACATTTGCGATCCAGTAATTTGCTGCTGTATTTATGCTAGTGGAAGATAGTTGATAATTTTTCTACCATATGTCTAAATCATTTTCAAGTTGTAACAAAATTTGTCCAATGAACCTTTTTCCATGAGTTGAAATTGTCATCTAATGTCAAACAGAAAACAGAAAATCAGCAATGCATATGAATTATGATATAGAACCGCAAAATTCCACTTTTCATATGACTGCATGTGAAATGACAATTTGATTACTTATATATAGTTATAATCAAGTCTACCTCATACCAATGGCTAGGCCAGCCAAAATAATCTTCTCACAAACTCACAAATTAACGATAATTATCAGATTGATGTGGGATAAACATGATTGAGGCATTTTTGTTGGCAGAAAAAAATATATTACAATGCCGAATGATATCTTCCAAATAGAAATTATTAAACCCAACAGGCAAGGAGTCCTTCTAGATTAATATGAAAACTGCCAATCTTTTCTTCTTTTGCGCTAATCTTTGAACTAGTCCTCAACGAATAAAAAGTTTTGTACTATATTAAATTGAGTAAATGGGACAAGAATGAAGAGAAACTAATGAAAGTCAACGACGTACAACAAAAGTCTAATATTAAACAACTTCGAGCATCTGTCAGTGTCAGGGCCATTACCTAGACGAAAGTTAATGTAAACCTCCTTGCATTATACAGGGTGAGTATTATATTGAAAACTCAGCTCACGAAAATGCTATAAAAAGTGGATGAAAAGATCGTCAGACTCGTAGCCGAAGTCATATCATGAAGGAAAATGAATTCTAATGCCATAATTCTCATTGTCTGGGGCTCTTGGTTCGCTGGAATTCTGATATTGCTTTGTTCATGGGAAATTGGACGGAAAAGGAAGCGGCTTCCGGCTACATCACATGCTGGGACGAGTGCTCCTCGGCGGCCTTCGTATGACGATGTTGAGAAGGGTCAATGTAGTGCAATAAGAGATGGGGGAATGGTTGTTCTGGGAGCAACAGCAGCAGTTGCAGCTGCCACTAGTGCAGCAGAAGCCGTGGTCGGAGATGGTGGTGATAGCGAGACAGGAGGCGGAGATGGCGGTGGTAGTGATGGTGGCGGTTGTGGTGGTGGTGGTTGTAGTGGATGCGGAGGTGGTTGTGGCGGTTGTGGTGGATGTGGGGGTGGTGGTGATTAATCAATAAAATCAAAGCCTGGCGCTGTTATCTTTCTAGCTCTACATACACATGAGAGGATCATAGAAGAGGCTGCAGTGCTGTTTGTTTCTGATTTCCTCAAATTTGTCCAGTTGGTAAGTTTCATTGGTGTGTGGTTATTTGTGATTTACGTTGATTGCAGATGAACCCGAGCAATATCGAAAACAAAACATTCACCAGGCTCATAAGTTACCATGTATGTACCAAAAATATGAATGCAGTAGCTCGAGCGATATATAGCATCTCCATCTCTTCCTGTCTAGCGTAACTAACAGAGTTCCACGCCATGACATGCCCTTCGCCATGTGATCAACGTACAATTTTATGCTCGAAATACTAAGATACAGACATAAATATTTTTAGCTTAAATATTTTTTCCTTATCTTCTTCAAGGTGTTATCGTACAGAACCAAGAATTCTATAACAAGTAACCTCTTTCTGGTGCTTTTGCTCTAATTTTAGTAGAATAATCATAGAAGCTTTGCCTCTAACACAAGTGCTCTTTTCCCTTCATCGAAATACAAGAGTCCCATCATATTACTTTTTTGTTTCTTATTTCTTTCACACAATATTCATTTCTTTTTTCATTGAAGTAGACGTACTTCTTTGGTTTTCCTCAACCATTCAGAGCGTAAAATTTGAAGTTCAGTCGTCGTTTGAATGAAACTCAAAACCTGGTTGTCTAAATATAGAAGCATGGAAAACCAACCAAAGGACTTCCATAAAACGTACAAGATTGTCAATTTTGTTAATTGTAATACTTTGCTAAGGTGGTAACCAATCATGATCAAGCCAGTGTAATTCTTTCATCTCATCCAGGATCAAACATAATATACATTTGATTCCTTTAAAACTGGCATGGGACTGATCCCCCGAAAGGAATGTATTAACCTTGTTCTTAACAGTAATCCAGCTACACCCAGGACTTTTTTTTATTCCTTGCAATTTCTTGGCCGTTCTAACTCTTTCTTCATCTTTTTTCTTCCCTGCAAAAGAATACATGTCTGATAAGACCACATACGGCGCTGCATTGTTTGGTTCCAGCTTAGAAATATTTTCGGCCGCAAGCATCGCGAGATCAACGCGGAAGCGAGTCCTGCTTGCAGCAAGAAGAGCACCCCATACCCCAGAGTCGGGCACAAATGGCATTGAATTGATGAAGGTTACAGCATCATCAAGCAAACCTGACCTTCCAAGGAGATCAACCATGCAGGCATAATGATCAGGTCCAGGTTCAATCTTATATAGAGATTTCATCAACCTAAAGTAGTTCCTTCCTTCTTCTACGAGTCCTACATGCGTACAGGCTGAAAGAACACCGAGAAAGGTAATTTCAGTAGGTTCGTAGCCCCTGCTCTGTGACTTCTCAAACAACTTAAGTGCTTCCTTTCCAAAACCATTTTGGGCAAATCCAGAAATCATAGAATTGAAAGAAACAATGTTAGGTGCCATAATGGAATTGAAGATCCGGTAGGCATCATCTACATTTCCACATTTTGAATAAAATGAGACAAGGGTATTTTGAATGGATAAATCAGACTCCATGTTCCTCTTAATAACCTGAGCATGTATTTGTGTACCCTGATTTAATGTTGCCAAACCAGCTGAAGCACTAAGAGCACTACTTAAGGTCAGAGGATTTGGTCTCACTGCAGTCTGAAGCATCTGAAAGAACGAACAGATAGCTTCCTCATATTGTCCATTAATAACAAACCCTGAAATAAGAGCAGTCCAGGCAATAGCGTCTTTCTCTGGCATCATTGTGAACAACCCAATGCATTTTTCAGTCAATCCTTCCTCAGAATAGCCAGTAATCATGGTTGTCCAGGAAACTACGTCTTTCTCAGGTGCCTTCTCAAATAGTCCATATGCCTCCTCAAGGTCTTTATTTTGAATATAACCAGAAATGAGAGAATTCCAAGAGACTATATCTTTTTCTAACATCATGTCAAACACACTTCGAGCCACATCCATACAACGAAATCTAGAATACATGGTAATTAATGAGTTTCCCAGAAAAACATCAAACTCAAATCCTAACTGTGAAACTAGACCGTGAACTTGACACCCTTCGGTATATCTGTCAAATCTCCCACAAGCTTCAAAAATTGTGGTGACTAATATAGGTTCGATTCTCACAGCATCTTCCCTTCGCATTTCAGAAAACAATCCAAGTCCGTCTCTGAAACGTCCCAGTTTCATATAGCCATTAATCATGGAACTCCAGGTAACCTCGTTCCTCTCCCATATTGCATCAAAAAACTCTCTAGCCTCATCAACTCTGTCATTCTTACAATACCCATCCACCATTGAGCTCCAGGATACAACATCCTTCTTCATCATACTATCAAAAATCTGAGTTGCCTCATCCAATCTCCCCATTTTCAAGTACCCATTTATCAACACATTCGAACAAGACGGGTCTCGCAGTTCTAATGGTGTCTCATTATACAATTTTTCAGCCTCATCAAACCTCCCTGAATTCACAAACCCCGTGATCATAGCAGCACAAGATACCTCATTCCGCTCGGGCATTTTCACAAACAATCGAAACCCTTCAAAGATACCACCTTTGCTTCTCGTATAAGCTGTGATCATCGCATTCCACGATGCGATAGTTCGTTCAGGCATTTCATCGAATAGTTCGCGAGCTCTCTTGAGCTGACCATTTTGAGCATAAGCTGTGAGCATTGCAGTGTACGAAACAACATTTCTTGTGGGCATTCGGTTGAAAACTGATTCGGCCTCTTTGATATTGCCGTCTCGGCCATGTTTCGTTATCTGGGAGTTGCAGTAAACGAGGAACTTATTGGTTTCAGTTTTGGTTTTTGACAAGTTGGTTTGAGTAGCAAAAACCAAAGTGCTAAAGATTTGTAGTGAAGGTTTCTTGAGGGCTTTGTACAACTGGGGGGAGGTGCGGTTTGCTAGCATGACTCAAAGAATTGAGGAAACTCCATAGCCTTGGGGACCGTTGGAGTTCAAAACTCGAAGCTTTTTTCGCGGCAGCCCTGAAAGCCGAAGAATGTCAAAGTAAACATTTGAGCCTCTTTTGCTGAAATTTTCTCAAAGTTGTCTGATAAAATTATGGGAGCTAATTGCTGAAATAGTCCCTCATATTTTTGAAAAACCGTTTGTATTCCCTCATCTTTTAATTTGGTTTCCCACATGTTTAAGCATAATATTTCAGTCAAATTCCCTTCATGTTTTTCTTTACCAATTCCCCTATTTTATTATCTTTCTTGCACAAAGATGTCAGGCTTACACCAAGTGGATATAAATCTAAAGGCAAAAACTTGAGGAGTTTTCTTTATTTAGTTTTATTTGATTTGTGATATGTAGAGCTAAATCCAATTTTTTTTTTTTTTTGGGGAATAAAAAACCTTTATTTTCTATTAGTAACATTCATGATTCTTAACTATGTTTGTTCATCTAATTAAACAGGAGACGGTGCATGTGCTTCACAAACTTTTTTGTCCCTACCTAAAACTTGTCCTCGTCACTTGATCATAATTCTGATAAATGGCAAGATTTCACACCAAATATCAAGCTTTAGAAAAAAAAATTTGTGATAACATTTTTTTCTCTTTTTTGCCAATATTGTAAGTCGTAGAATGTGACACCAATCTAGCGGTAAGTTTCATAGCAAAAAGAAAAAAAAAAAAAGTACTCTTTAAGTTTTTAGTGTTGAACTAATGCATGTTGTAGTAAATTGTGCGAGTCAATTATGAATTTCACTAAACAAGTATTAAGTTCTATATGATATTTCCAATCGAGATCGCCACAAATAACTTGATCTTTCCTTCTTGGAATAGCAGGCTTACAATAACCCGATATAAATCAGCAACTTTTAGTTTTAGGTGGGTGGTGCCACGAGGATTTATGCAATGACGGATCAGCTCACATGGATCTAATTAGGTGCATTCACCATCCAATGTGTTGCGATTGCGAAGCTACCTAATTAATATATAGCCAGGACTAGGAGGATGTGATTGTGATCAGACTCCACCCAACACATTTTGGTGGCAACATGTGCACCAATTCTTGTGTTGGGCGGTCAACAATGGAGATGACAAGACCTCTGATCAAGTTCTCCATGCATTATCTCACGAGGGACCAACTTTCGTTTTTCTTAAACCAAATTTTAAGCATCTTTTTTGGCACTTGGCAAAAAAAATTGCACGCTCGAAGTTGCATTCCAGACAGTGAATTGCCCGAATCAAGATTCTCGTGTAGCACTCAGTTGTAGCAAGCCCCACCTGAACTTATCACTTACGTGTAATAAATTAATTTCATGACATCAAAATCAATCTCTAACCTTACAATTGAAAGATGAGAAAGAAAGAGGTTAAGACTTAAATCAAGAACCTTAATTATAATCACCTAGTTAGTTAATGTTCTTACTAACTAAGCTGCGCACCTATTATTACTTTCTTAATTTTGTTTCACTCATAATAATTTCTAATTAATTCTGAATATTATTTTTGTTTGTGCTTTGATGATTGTGTAGTACTCGATCGATCCTCCAAGGCTACAACATGCTAATTGTAAAACATCACAGTTCACAAGTGCCTACAGATATTAGGAAACCCCAATAAGCTATCAGAATCAATAACATATATAGGGTTCAATTCTTATTTATTTGCCGGCACTAATAATTTAGGAGTTGAAGATATATGGGGATAAGTTCTTCTCCCACGTAACTTTCCTGGTATCTGATCCACCATAATCTCCTAGATATTGTCTGCTTTGCTGTACTCTCTGATAAACACATTATTCTGTAATGACCATAGACAAATACAGCGGCATCTTTGGCACCTGAAAAGCCTTTTGTTGGTAGACAAAGACATTTACCTACATTTCTAAGCCATCCGTGGTGGTAGTCCATCCCTTTGATTATGTGTCCAAGGTCACATGATTGGTTGGTTCATTGCATTTTCTGATTAGTATGCTTTCGTGACAATGGGGGACCATCTTAAATTGT